GGGGGGGCTTTGCACGGAGGAGGAAGACTGTGGGGTCTTGATGCTCTCTTGAGCCTGGTAGTTTTCTTGCAGACGTTTCATAACCCGACTAGGTAACATCATCAGGGCTGGAAGGCAGTGGAGATGCAGGGAGGAGGAGGAGGAGGAGGAGCAGGAGGGCTGTGGGGTCTCTGGTGCCCTCTGAGCTTGGTTGCTTCCTTGCAGACGTTTCATGACCCAACTAGGGAACGTTGTCAGTGCTGGAAAAGAGGGGGGCTAGCAGGGAGGAAGAAGAGGAGGAGGAGGAGGAGGACCAGGAGGAGCATCCCCCTCCCCATCTCCCCTCCCCCCCCTCCTCCAGGAATTGGGTCCAGGGGTTTTGTGTGGGAGCGCGGCCAGGTGAGGAACGTGGGAAGAGCGCAGGTGATGTCAGGGCTTAAGAGGAGGAGGAGGAGGAGGAGGACCAGAAGGAGGACACGAGCAAGGGGGGAGGGTCCACCCTCCCTATCTCCAAGCCCTCCCCCCCCCCCCGGGGGGGGGCTGCAGCCGGCGGGGGGGCCCACCGGGGAACGGCTTCCCCCCCGGGGGGCGCGGGGGGGGGGGGAGAGGCAAGGGGAGGGGAGGGCTCCATTCATTCAATGAGTCTATCCTCCCTCCTCCCCTCCCCTCCTTGTCCTCCCCCGCGGGCTTCCTCCGCCTCCTCGTGATAGGTCAGAGCTGGCAATTCGAAGTGGCCCCGCCGCTGCGGATTGGCTGGCTGGGAGGCCCCCCCCCTCCCTCCCACGGAGAGGGGTGGGCGGGGCCTGCCCCTTGAAATAGGCGAGCGGGCGCTCCTTCTTCTTCGCCTCCTCCTCCTCTTCCTCGCCCAGCTGCTGCTGTTGCTGCTGCCTTTGTCTGCAGACGCTGCCCAGGCGAGAGAGAGAGAGAAAGCCCCGGAGATCTTCTCCTTTTGCAAGGCTGCCGTCCGCCTGGGAAAGCTCCTCGCAGAGACGGGGGTTGTGCTAGGAAAGCCCTGATTTCTCTCTGCCTTCTCTCCTTTTTGCAGGCTGCCGTCCGTCAGGGGAAGCTGCCCTTCCCTATCGACAGAGCCTGGGAGCTGCCGATCTCGCTGCCTTCTCTCCTTTGCAGCTGACATCCGTCTGGGAAAGCTGCCCTTCCCTGCCAACAGAGATTGGGAGCTGCCGGATCTCTCTGCCTTGACTCCTTGGCAGGCTGCCGTCCGTCTGGGAAAGCTGCTCGCAGAGCCTGGGGCTGCGCTAGGAGAGAGAGAGAGAGCGCCCTGATCTCTCTGCCTTGACTCCTCTCCGCAGGCTGCCTGTCCGCCTGGGAAAGCTGCCTTTCCCCACCAATAAGAGGGCTTGACAACAGCTGACCAGCCAGCCCAGGGCATGTGAATCCTTCCCTGGGGGTGGGTGTGAAGGAAATTGTCACGCAAGAAGTCTCGTGGAGTGGGGGTGAGGAAATCGGCTCGCCATGCCGGTGGAGACCTTCCAAGCCAGCCGTGGCATGGCCACGGTGACGGCCACGGCCCCCTTCACCTCTGCCATGCCCTTCCGCATCCTCAACAAGGGGCCCGAATACTTCCGCCGGCCCCCGGCCAGCGTCTCCCGGAAGCTCAGCGCCGTGGAACGCCTGGAAGCGGACAAAGCCAAGTATGTCAAGAGCCAACAAGTGGCCACCACCAAACAGAACCCTGTCCGGCCATTGGTGCTCAAGCAGCCACTCTTCACCCCCGGGGTCAGGCGGGCAATGTTCGCCCCCAACCGGAAGGTCCCTCAAGCGGGGCGGCGGGGAGAAGGCGGCGGCGCCAAATCGTCCCTCAACTTGGAAATCCTCAACAACCTGATCAATTTTTGCGACAGTCCCCTTGCCTTCCCCAAACCAGAGCAGAGCCCTTCGGACAGTCCGTGGCTCCCCAAGGTCCACGGCCGGAATCTGGACAGCCTGCCTTCCACCCCTAAGAACAAGGCCGCGACCGACATCAGCAAACACTCCCAAAGTTCGGCATCTTCCAAGCCGTCCAGCACCGTAGCCGTCCGCCGAGTGGACGTCCGGCCTTGCGGGGTGTCGACGGCCAGAAGTCCCCCCGCTATCCAACTGTCTCTGCTCCCTGTCCCGCCTACGCCCCCCCAAAACCTGCCTGCCACCCCTCTCCGCTGCCCAAGCCCGAGGGGAGAGCCGCAGACCGATAGCGCCAAACGCCAGACCTTGTTACACCGGTCCAAATCGGACTTGAGCGACCGATACTCGCGGGCCACGGCCGACTTGGAACGCTTCTTCAACTACTGCGGCTTGGATCCCGAGGAGGTCGGAGACATGGAGATGGAGCGGTTCACTCGAGCCAGCTCGGACATTGTGTCCGTCAAGTTCCACAGCGTCAGCACCAGCAGCTCGGCCGGGACTCCTTCCCAGCGAAGCACCATCACCGTGGAGGACAGGCAAGCGGAACGCATGCCGTACGGCATCTCCATCGTCGAACGCAATGCTCGAGTCATTAAGTGGCTTTATGGACTCCGGCAGGCAAAAGAGGCCCAGAAGATATCCAACGTATAGCGGCAGCTGCTGGTGGGGGGTGGGAACTCCCCAGCGGTGAGGGGACGAGTCCCTCAACCCTGTCCAAGGCTCTTGGTTTCAGTTTGCAACTTGAGAAAAAAAAAAGATTTGTCGTCTCCGGGACGTGTGAGGGCCCACTTGGTTTTGCCCACCGGGCGATCCCTCGTGACACGTCGATCTTAAAATCCTTTTTTGTTGTTTGGGGGTTGTAGGGGGGTTGGAATCGCTTGTTCTGTTCCCGATCCAAGCTTTGAGGCTTTGTCACAAGACACCAACACACCAAACGGAGACAAATTTAACTTGTGGGGGAGGGGGTCCTTGGTGCTTCTCTGAGCTTGGCCGTTTCACTGTCAAGACGTTTCGTGACCCAACTAGGTAACGTCATCCGTGCTAGAAGGGAAGTGGGGGGTTTTGCTCTCTGTTTATAAAGGAGTGGTTTGTCCTGTGTGTGTTGGTGGGGAGTGTTCTTTGTGGTTCCTTGATACGGCTGTTGTTTGCTGTCGGGGTCCTTGGGGCTCTCTGAGCTTGGGTTTTTTCTTTTTTTCTTTTCTTGCAGACGTTTCGTTACCCAACTAGGTAACATCATCAGTGCTAGCAGGGAGCGGGTTTTGCAGAGAGGAAGCAAGGGACAATGGCAATGTTGTGGTCCTTGGTGCTCTCTGAGATTGGTGCTTTCCTTGCAGACGCTTCCTTACCCAACTAGGTGACATATCCTCAATGTTGGACGAGAGTGGGGTTTGCGGGGCCTAAAGGCAGGACTAGAACTCGCAACCTTAGAGAACAGCAAGGACTCCACACTTCATCCCCGAGCTACAAATGCTCTCTTCTATTGCTTGTTGTTTACTATTTCCTGAAAAAAAACGTAACGCGGAGGTTCTTCACTCACTTTAAATTTTCCAAGAGGGGGACCAGCCGGGTTTTTATGGCGGCTGAGGATGATGGGAGTCACGGATTCCTTTAGAAGCGCATCTCTTTGAAGAGGCTCCTTTGGTGGGTGTCGTAAAAAATGGCACCCCCCCGCCCCCTTTTCTTTCAGGGGGAGCCCCCTCCCCCCCCAAATGCGAGTCACCGCAAAGAGGCGGCGGTGCCCTCCCCACTCCGATTGTGCCATCGTGACAGCTACGTTTTTTGTGCCACGTGATGCTGTTTTGGAAGTGACATCACAGATGCCCTGCGAGGTGGGTTGGCATCGTGCGGTTAACCCTTGCTTCCTCTCCTGCTCACCTATTACTCAGGAGTGTGTGTGGGGGGGAAAACACACCGGCTATCCAATTGGAAGCTGGGGTAGTTTCTTTCCAAGGGTGGCATGGCCCCTCTGGGTGGGGTTTCCCCCTGGGAACCAACTTCAAGCTTAAGGGGGGGGGAATTTAACAGATGAACAGAGTTGGAAGGGACCTTGTAGGTCATCTAGTCCAACCCCTCGCCCAAGCAGGAGACCCTGCACCGTTTCTGACAGATGGACGTCCAGTCTCTTCTTGAAACCCTCCAGGGATGAAACTCCCACAACTTCCGAAGGAAAATTCTGTTCCATTGATTGTTCTCACTGTCCGAAAATCCCTCCTTATTTCCAGGTTGCAATCTTTCCTTGTTCAGTTTCCATCCATTGTTCCTTGTCTGGCCTTCTGATGCTTTGGAAAATAGATTGACCCCCTCCTCCTCTCTGTGGCAGCCCCTCAAATATTGGAAGATGCTATCCTGTCTCCCCTGGTCCTTCTCTTCCCTAGACCAGCCAGGCCCAGTTCCTGCAACCGTTCATTGTATATTTTAGTCTCCTGTCCCCTCATCATCCTGGTTGCTCTTCTCTGCACTCTTTCTAGAGTCTCAACATCTTTTTTATATTCTGGTGGCCAAAACTGGATGCAGTACTCTAGGTGTGGCCTTACTAAGGCTTTATGGAGTGGTATTAGTACCTTCCTTGATCTCGATTGTATCCCTCTGTTAATGCAATTTAGGATTGCATTGGCTTTTTTGGCTGCCACCACACATATCTGGCTCCTATTTCGCTGGTCGTCCACTAAGACTCCGAGATTCCTCTCCCAGTTCCTGCCGTTGAGCCTGGTTTCACCCAGTCTATCTGTGTCCTTTGGGTTTTTCTTGCCTAAGTGTAGGACTTTACTTTTCTCTACATTGAATTTCATTTTGTTAGATATAGGGCCCAGGGTTCAAGTCTGTCACGATCCATCTTGGGTTTGTTTTTTTTTAGCTGAGGTCATCATCCTGTCATTGGCATCGCGCGGTTAACCCTTGCTTCCTCTCCTGCACACCTATTGCTCCGGAGTGGGGGGGAAAACCCACCAAGGCTATCAAACCAGAAACCGGGATAGTTTCTTTCCAAGGGTGGCATAGCACCTCTTGATGGGGTTTTGCCCTGGGCAGCCAAGTGTGAGCCTAAGAAGGAATTTTTTGGTTTTTTTTAGCCAAAGCAATAGCAGCACCTGGCAACAATAGAAGGCAGAATGGCTGAAGAAGCTGGAAAATCCCCAGGTTTTATTGTTGAGCAGGTGCAAGAATTCAAAAAAAAAACAAACCCATCTTGGCTTACAACCAGGAAATGCTTTCTGGCAGAACATGGCACGGGGGCAAAATCCATGCCAGGACTCCTTGCATGCAAATGAGACGTTCTGGGTGGCCCCTCCCACAAGAGGAGGCTTGTAGGTGTGACTTAGGCCAGGTGAGGGACAGGTAGTACCCATCTGCAGGTCCGGGGTTTCGAGAGCGAGGCTTAATGTTCCCTCTCGGCTTACAGGTAGTCTTTGATTTACGACGGCTTATTTAGTGACTGAAGTTGTAACGTCGTGGGGAAAAAAACGGAAGGTTTTTCACACACTTTTGCAGCATTCCTGACAAATCGTGTGATCGAAATTGAGGCCACTGGCTTGTATTTAGAACGGTTGTAGCAGCCTGAGGTGTGTATGTGTTGTCATTTGTCATGGCCATTTGCGAACCTTCCCAGCCAATGCAGAAAGCCAGATTCTCTTAACAACAAATTCGCTTAAGAACGGCGGCAATTCGCATAACGACTTTGCATTGCCAAAAAGGTTGTTAAAAATGGGGGGGGGGGCAAAAAAAAAACCCTCACTTTTAACAGCCATTTTAAATTTTTGGAAATGTTGGGCTCCCTTGTGGCTGTACGTTGAGGATTTAAACCTGTCCTGGGCTGGGGATGAAGGGAGTTGTAGTCCCCCCCCCAGTGGACTTGGAAAGTGTCAGATTTGGTCAAAATGCTTTTTGTGATGTTTGCTTAGTGGGTTTTTTTCTTTCTTTCTTTCTTTCTGGTTTCCAATGATCTATTGTCTTTCTCCCCCTTCTGGAAAAAAAAACCCCGATCTGCAAATCGTCATGATATACAGTATTTTAGCCAAGCCTGGCGCACATGGTGTGTGAAGGCAGCATCCTTTGTGTCTGGCTGTCTTGTAGCCCAGCCTCTCTCTAGATGCCTTTCCTGACCCATCCTTCATGTTGTGAGGAAGGGATGTTGGGATGTTCTTCTGGCGATACCGCCTCTTTTCCCACCACTCGTCTTTCCGGGCCCCAAATACGTCTTTATTTTGAGGGGACGGGACGGCAGCTCAGAAGGAGCCAAGATTTCAAATGGGGGGGGGGAAAAAAGTGGCTCCAGCAATCTTGCCCAAGGGTGTTAGCTTGGGCAATATTTCTCTCGGCGGAGCTGGCTCGAAGGAGGTGGGGCACCTGCCATCCCAGTACAGGGAGCAGATAACCGATAATCAGAGTTGCAAGGGACCTTGTAGGTCATCTAGTCCAACCCCCACCCAAGCAGGAGACTCTACACCGTTTCTGACAAATGCTCTCCAGTTCTTCTTCTTGAAAGCTTCCAATGTTGAAAGCTCCTACAATTTCCAAAAGCAACTTCTGTTCTACTGGTTGATTGCTCTCACTGTCAGAAAGTTTCTCCTTGTTTCCAGGTTGAATCTCTCTCCTTGTTCAGTTTCCGTCCGTTATTCCTTGTCTGGACTTCAGGTGCTTTGGAAAAATAGCTTGAATCCCTCGTCTCTGGGGCAGCCCCTCAACTATTGGAAGATCGCTTATCATGTCTCCCCTGGTCCTTCGCAAATCGAGGGAAACCACTTTGGGAAATCAGGTGGGGCTGGAGGGACCTCAGGTCATTGTCAGGATTCCAGCAATCGCCCTAATTAAATCACCTCGAGCCAAACTTCCATAAACTTCAAAGGATTCATTAGAGATGACCTACTGGCCCTGCCCTGGGACCCTGTTCCCTCCTCCTTCCCCCCTTGTTGGGTCATAAATCAGATTCTCCAATTGAGTTGGGTGTCATCAATCACGTTCTCCAATTAAATATATTTGCAGGCAAAAGCTCTGGTAAGTTAGCTACAATCTTTTAAAGATGAAGAGTTGGAATGTACTTTTGCTTCCAAACTGCTGCGCTGCTCTTCCACTTTTCCTTCCTCCCTCCCCCTCTTTTTCTTTATGGCAACTACTAAAACAGGCATAGGAATAAAAGATAACAGGTAATCAGAGTTGGAAGGGACCTTGCTTCTCTCCTTGATTGGTTTCTATCTGTTGCTTCTTGTCCTGCCCTCAGGTGCTTTGGAGAATAGCTTGACTCCCTCTTCTTTGGGGCAGCCCCTGAGATACTGGAACACTGCCATCATGTCACCCCTCGGTCCTTCTTTTCATCAAACTAGACCTACCCAGTTCTTGCAACCATTCTTTGTATGGTTTATCCTCCAGTCCCCCAATCCTCTTCACTGGTCTTCTCTACGCCCTTTCCAGAGTCCCAACAACTTATTTATATCGTGGCGATCAAAACTGGATGCCATATTCCAAGTGTGGTCTTAAAACAAGGCAGGATAAAGCGGTACTAATGCTTTGCATGAAATTTGGAATTATCCCCTTTGTAAATGCAGGCTGGGATTGCTTTGGCTTTTGGGGGCTGAGCTCATTCCCATCATTTGCAATTGCCACCCCCCAATTCCATGGTTTAATTCGTACTCCACATTTACTACGGGTGGTTCATTTCTCACAACCACAACTTGCGTAGCTTAGCGTGAGGGCTGCAAACCCACCCTCATTCGGTCAAGTGACTTCACCAGTTTGACTTTGGGGGAAGCTCTACAGGGAATTTAAACAATTGTTTAATTCAGGGGTCCCCAACCTTGGCAGCTTTAAGCCTGGAGGACTTCAACTCCCAGAATTCCTCAGTCAACTTTAAAAGACTTGTGGACTTCAACTCCCAGAATTCCTCAGCCAACTTTAAA